GTAGGAAAGCGCGTCACTGCCCGTAATTCGCTATGATTGGTCGGTCAGGTTGACGACGTCAATACGTCTGGTGCGTCGGTGCATCAGCATAGAACTGCAATTTATAGAATGTGCCCTAGACGATCCCACGATCTCTGCAGTTTGAAAGATCGTCTTCACGTTGTAATCCTTCACGATCTAATATCGTCATATCGCCCACCCCTACCATGAAGTTTAACTACATGTAGACAAAATCAGTAACAGCACTACTGTAATCTTTACTAATTCAGCAGAAAAAAAAGAAAAAAAAAAAGATCTTCTCACTCCTGAAAGACCAAGCCTGACTTATTGGAAAATAATAAAATAATGCACAAAGGAATTGAGGAATAAGTATCTAATAAATGAATTCCACATTATTTATTTTATCCTTCTCTGCCACTTCCGGATTTATTTTCCTTCAGCAGAGTTTGTTTTCTATTTGTGTAATATATTTTATTTCCACGCATATGTGATTTATTTGTCTGTAAATATAAAAATTGGGTCAAGCATAGAAAAGCTTAGAAAAACAATTCTATTTGATGGACCATCTATCCTGAGGTGACGGTGAAATATAATAATGTGGAATTAAACTGCATATTTATACAATTTTTTCTTATATACATTATGTGCATTTTATAGATTTATTTCAATTTCTTTGTCCAATAAATTTTTTAAAATAATTTTCTTTTATTTAAGTCAGGTTTGATCTTTCTACTTCTAAGATGTTTTGGCTACTGTCTATAATATACATGTACATTTTGTTTTACTCGTGTGAGTTGTTTTCTCTTCCCCGTCGTCATTTGACTACTTCTAAGTCCACTTTGCAGTTAATTCAGCTCCACCTATAAATTCAGTTTCTAACTAAGACCCTTCAGTATAAAGGCCTTTTTCACGGTGAAGGAAATTGAGGAAGCTGCTGCCTCTGTCGGATGGTTGTTAGAGCAGGATTGCTGCTAGATATCAGGTTTTCACACAAAGGTTTTGCACCGACAAAACAGCTATGCCCTGATTTGAAGCTTTAATTTTCATTCGTGTTGTTTGGTGTCGGATGGTGCCACATTTTAGCAGTGTTATGGCAGTGCAAAGCTGTATTTCTTATATATATCTTATATAAATTGCTCCCCTTTCTCTTAAGACTTCAATCGGTCAATATGGCTATTAAACAAAGGTGCCTGTGTTCCCTGTTGCTCTGTGATGCCATATGTGAAAGTCTATTCCTAGTTTTTTTCCAATTTAATTTATTGTTTATTTATTTTATTGCATTTGTTGTTGGTTATTATTTTTGGACATTTAAAATAATAATGGTTATGTCCCTCCCGCTCAGATGAAGCATCTGGTGTCATGTTTTTTTTTGTTTTTTGTTTTTTGTTTGTTTTTTTAAAGAAAAGCCAGAGCTTTTGTCAATTTTGTACCTTATGGTGTTTTTTAAATTTTTTTTATCCATTGATCAACTCTCAAGATAGACGTGAGGATAAAAAGTCACAATCAGCCATCTTAAAATTCTGATACAGTTTCAGTCTCATTCATTATGTTGCATCCATTTTACAGGCAGTAGAGAAATATGACTTGTAATGTTGCAAGCGATTACCTTGTACATTATAAAGACATTATTACCAATTCTTTGTCATGCACATTAGTGTTGCTTGTGGCTTACATGTGTATGCAAAGCCCAGTTCTGGTGTTTTACCATTTTCCTGTACAGTAGATACAAACTGTTCTTAAGTAATCCTGACTTTAGCATTCTCTAACTAATTGATAGGATGAACCTAACAACAACTTAATGTGATGCAATAAAGTGGTCCCAATGTTAACGAATGTCTGGAGCTACTTTTCCCGCTACGCTGGGTTGATTACACCTTGTCCTTTTTGTACCTAAACCCAGAAATACATTTAATTCAGCATTTATTTATGCTATTAGTTACAGCTGTTTTTGACGGGTCAGTATATATCGGTCTTCAGAAAGCAGTCAACACTAAGTGATTTGCTACTGACTGAGATGTGATTAGTGTAATGTGAGACTATGATACCATCAGGGTTCAGATTATGGGGAGGATTGGGGGAGTGTGAGTGTGACCCCCCCTTATAAAGACGTGGACCCCCCCCCCCCAAAAGAGGTAAAAAATAATTGCAAATATTACAATATATATCTCATATTCTTGCCTGGAAGAATTTTGTGCTACCATTTCAGACACCTCTAAAGTGGACCATACCCTTTCTTAACCTTGATGTTTACTGCATGTTTCATCGATCTGCCTCACTCCATCAGTGGCTCTCGCCCTCAGATCTCTGCTCCCATGCATTGCACAGGCACCGTAGGTAAATGTAAGTGGCAGTAGCTTACTATCTAGCTTTTTAAATACTCTTTACCTTATCTTCTGAGTTTCTGAATTTAGACTGTGTCAGGCAAGTAGTTTTTCACTAATAATAAAACTGATCATTTTGATTTAAAACATTTTCATTTTTTATATAATTAAATTTTTTTCACCAAAACTGCACTGTTTTGCAAATGATTAGTTGGCCCACTTGAGTACCTTTGCGCCCAGTCCAGTCTAGTTAAGTGTGCCAGTGAACCAACATGCACGATACCAGGAACCTAGAAGTGCTGCAGCTAAATGAAATGCAGTCATTATTGATGTTACTAGTTACACCTGAGCTTTTCCTGTTAGGACATGTCAAAATGTTTCTTATAAAAAAACAACAAGAGAAATATTACAGTACAATTTATAAAGTTACATTGCACTTGGTGTTGTCACAGTAAATCACAGCTAATTCCAGGCTATCCCTGTTTGTTGACACTAATGGGTACACTAGCTTCAGCCAACACATTAACTGCTTCCTGTTGTCAGTGTGCCAGGCTGGAGGAACTCCATACCATGCATGGGCTTCAAGCTGCGGTTCGTCGGGCTCCCTTACAATTCAAATTCCATGTCGTTTAAAAGTAGCATTTAGTAAGTGTAAGAAGATGGTAAAGCAGAGAAATAGCTAAACATTCACCTGCCGTCTAGTGTATGAATACCAGGTGACTGTGAAATCTAGCCACTCCTGAAGCTATTGAATGTGTTATGTGTGTTCAAGTGCTGAACTGAGGACAAGCAACATCAGTGTGTGTGTCTTAAATTAGCAGCAGCTTCATAGCAAATGAACGCAGGTCACGTTTCAGGCTGCGGTGGACAGGGGTGAGGGGTCAGGGAGAGTGTGTGTGTGTGCATGTGTTAGCATGTGTGAAAAGGACTACCTGAGTGGGAACTTTGGTTGTGAATCTTTGAGCGTGTCATTTTCTCCTCCAGGTCAGCAGGAGGCTGCTCTCTCCTTGTGCTCCACCAGCGTTGGAGGAAATGGGAACAAAAAAAAACATTGTGATGTATAACCTCTTTTATCACCTGATATATATTTATCCCCTACTAACCCAGTGATCTAGATCCATGCAGGTGGTCTTTTGATGTCTCTCCACAACACACACACACACACACACACACACACACATACCCGTCCTGCTCCTGTGGGAAGTGTCTTATTACAGCTTGCTGAAAATGGAAAACAGTAACAGCCAGCACAGGCTTTTCAGCTTAAGACTGGACCAACATTAGAGAGTAATAGCTGAACACAGGAGGATAGAATAAAAAAAAAGAACACCTGCACACTCCAATGCAATGCAATACAACAGCCAACAAAGTACTTTAAAGAGGCTTACAGTGTATGGAAGCCTATAGGAGGCAATATAAAAATAATAATGTACTATACAATATTATAACTTTCCCCATATGCTTGAGTAAACTATTAAAATGAAAATGCAATGATAATAATAATAATAATTTTCATTTTCACACACTAGTATGGACGTTCTATGACCATATTAAAAAAATTTAAAGATTTTTTTGGTATTTAATTTTAAAAAAGTCAAGCCGTGCTGTACAGCGGACCACATTCAAATTTTAAATGTTAATTAAAACTTGAAAATTAAAATGCAATACAAACAATATAACCTGATTTTTTACAAGCAATGTGCATATATTGGCTCTTCATTAGTCCCTTCTCCTTATTTTATTTCTATTTCTATTTTTACTCGTCACTTGATTTTTCTTTCTTTTTTATTGTTTTATGTTTGCCTTTTGTTAAGCACTTTGTAATTGCTTATTTTAATCAGGGCTACATAAAAAATACATTTTTATGTTATTTTTAATGTTACCCTGCTATTACAGTTTTCAAACGTCCTGCTTGTGTTAGTGTAAACGTAATGAAGCTTAACTTTGACTTGTAAAAAACATTGTGACCGCAGACCTGGACTTCTAAGCTCTAGCAAAAATAACATTCTTATACACTATTATTCAAAATATGTTGGTTTTTATTATTCCTCATGTGTGTTTTCAAATACAGTAACATGTCCACAGTGCACGTGCATCACTCCAGCCATAGTGTGATTCTATATTCAGAATAGTGAACGGGCCCAGATAAGTACCTGTGATAACATGTCATCTGACTAAGAACAGTTACTCACATGAGGTCGAGTGGCCCTTGATATCTTAAGGCTCCACAATACACACACAATAAACAACTTTCCTCTCACCTCTCATTTCTCTCCCTTCAACACCATCAGTTTTTTTTCTCACTCTCACTCTCTCCCTCTGTCTGAACTCTGTGCTTTATTACCCAGCAGCCCCTTTTCTTATTGGTATCAACCACGAAACCCTGTGTGTGTGTGTTTGAGAGGGGGTGTTAACAGCGTGGCCGTGGCAACAGAAAGCAGGGAATCAGGCTTTGGGACGTGGAACGTTTTCTGAACACATCCACCTGCACACACACACACACACACACACACCAGAGGAGTGATGAAGGTTAAAACATAGTGTGTATTGAGCAACACCGCGCCACGTGTTTTCACACAGAACGACATGTCTTCCAAAAAACTCTTCTTGAGGTGGTTGAAGTTGGGTTTTGTTGTGTACACACACGTTCACACCTGCCAATGTCTTGTGGGTGACATCATGGGTAACATGCCCGTGAAAAACAAAAACCCTTCTCATTTGACCTTCGCTCTCATGACTTTATTCTGATACTTTATATTGTGTTGTGCCAGGTTTAGCAATCTGTGATCCCTGTGGCCCAAAGGTCAAACTTCCCTGCGAGACAGGGGGGAAGAAAATCAGCAGCTGTCGCTCCCTCACCTCCCTCGATCTGTTTGGCCTCACGCGACACTCCTCTAATCTTTTAGCCTCTCTGCCCTCTGTTAGGGCTTTCCCACAGTAAATTGAGGAACAGAGATACAGAGAGAGAGAGAGAGAGAGAGAAAGTCAGCTTCAGGTTTACTCAGATCAGGACTGAGTGACGGATACGAATCAGACGGGACAGCAGGTAAAGGCCTGACAGGCGGTGAGTTAAGAGGCTGCAGGGGATTTCCATGTTTAGACCCTGCTGACTACTGCTGCTGCCGTTTCCAGTCTCCTGAGGGATCGACCCGAACCCCTCCCCTCCTACACCTCTCAGCTGCTCAACTGTTTTCAAGCGCTTCAACATTAAAAGGTGCTGCAGCTTCATTTACTATTTCTACTGTATCGGTCTCTCTCCCTGCTTTATTCCAAAGACTTGACCTGTGCAGACGACATAGATCCACCGCTTCTTAATTCTCATTGCTCTTTGATTGCTCCGCTGGCTGCTGTCTCTGCAGGCTGCATCTGCTGAACCACGCTATGCAGAGGAGGAGTCCCCGCTCAGCTGCTCAGCTGCAAACGTGAGTAAAGGATTTCCTTTATTTGTAGATTGAAATACCTTCCCTTTCCATTATCAGCTGGGTCATTTAACTGGAGAAAGACTGTTTTAAACCTAAAGTGCACAGAAACTGAAGCAAACATTTTCCTAGCTGCAAATGCTTAAATGGGTTTAAGAAAAAGTTTTGAATGAACCATTTTTTTCTTTTGTCTTGTCACCTCTTGCTTGATCTCATCAAAAAGCAGCTTGGCTCATTAACTTTTTTTTTCCCCCATGGCCACAGTGATGCAGTTAAGTTTAGAAAAGCAGAGCACAAATAAAGCAGATCAGCATTATTTAAGGCATCATGAAGGTGACTTAAATGGTAGTCTAGAGTTTCAGACAGGACAACACAGTGACAACACTTTCTTCATATCAGAAATTTTTACAGGAAAAAAGAAAATCATCGACCATCTAAATGTTTGAAATTCTTTGAATCCTGCACCTTGCACTATGAATCTAAAAACAAAGGTGCTGTAACTCACATCAGAGTCTACTGTATGTCACTCTAGCCGCACAGAAATCAGACCTGTGCTCAGTATTTTCAGACATGACGTGACCCAAATCTCTCCCATCCGCTCTCTCTACAGTAACTATCCCAGCAGCTGGGATGCAGAGTTATCAAGTTGCGTGAACATACTGCAAAATGATTTACAGCTGAGTCAGAAATAGTGCAACTTCCGATGCTGCTGGTCCGCTCTCATCCAGGCAGAGGGACAAGTTTCCATGGCAGGTGGAGTCTGTGGGAAATTACTAAAAGTAGTTCGACTCTCCCGGCTGCCCCCGGCAACTCAACGCTGACACACACATGCACACGCTGTACAGGCAGCAATGCTGGAGACTACAGAACCAAGTTTGCATGTGGCGTGTGTGTGTGTGTGTGTGTGTGTGTGTCCGTGTAGGAGTGAAGCTGGGTCTTCTAATAGTTTTGAAGCCCTTGGATGCCACGAGCAGCTGGATCTCAAGGACAGCCAGGACTCTGAGGACCCCACAGAATACTGTTATGGTACGGCAGCGTCTCTCAACTCACTCCATCATCTGCAGATGTATTCATTTACATTTGGCCTCTCCATCCCTTCAGAGCGACCTGTACGAGGTTGTTTTAAATGATTCTTTCACCAACAATGTGGTACAATGAATTGTGGGTAAATTAAGACATGGCCGACCGAGGAACTGCACCCAACTGCTCAGCTCCTTTTACTCCTTACTTAAAAAAAAAAAAACAAAACTCAGATTTGGAAAAAAAAATCTCTTTCCCTCCTCGTTGCAAAGCACAAATTATGAGCCATGCTTTCCTGTTTTTTCTTTTTGGGTGCTATTGGTCAGCTCAGGTGTCACTGATTGTTACCATGGTAACATTGGTCTTAGGTCTGAGTTAGCCCGGGGAAACGGTGCCTAATGTTTTTGGCTTAAAATTAGTCAATTTTAGGGGCGTCGAGTGGCGCAGTGGGTTGAGCAGGCGCCCCATATGTAGAGGCTACAGTCCTCGCTACAGTCGGCCCCGGTTTGAATCCTGTATCGGACGACCCTTTACTGCAGGTCATTCCCCCTCTCTCTGCCTCCCCGTTTCCTGTCTCTCTACTGTGCTGTCAATAAAGGCATAAAAAGCCCAAAAAAATATACTTCCAGTCTGAAATGTCTTTGTGAAACCGGCCCCTGGACAAAGACCTCAGATATTGTACCTGGAATCTGATGGAGCCTCTCTTCCAGTTTGGGGGGGGTCACGGTCTCCAATGCTCCTGTTCCCACTGGGACCACTTTGGACTTTACCTTCCACATCTGTTGCAGCTGTTCTCTTAGCCCCTGGTACTTCTCGATCTACTCGTGCTCCTTTCTTTCTCTGTATAAAGACTTCTGTGAAAGTGTGCAGTTCCTCCTCTGCCAATTTTTTATCTTCTTACCTATTAAGTGGCAGCTAAATTGCCATTCCTCAAGCCATGGTGCCAGCATGGCTAACAAAACCACGTAACTACGTCTTAGGATGACACAAACTAACAGTCTTTGAACCAGCCAGCTATAACTACAAGTCAATATTTCTTGTTTTTGACCTGTAAATACAAGAAATGCTCCTCAGTACCCACGTAGCCACACTCAGCCTTTGTACCACTTAAGCCGGAGGTATCTTTTTTTTTTTTTGGCCATTCTGACCTTGGTCCCTGTTCTTCCTTCCTTCCATGCCAGCTGTGCAGGTTTCTGTGTGCACCTCTTAAAAGCAGATAAGCTGCTGAGTATGTGATACCACAGATACCTGACACAGTAATAAATCATATACCAGCTTATATCATGCTCAATTTTAATAGAATCAGAGATTCAATTCCAAGATATCTGACAATGTCCAAGAACTGTGTGTCACGCTGGCTGAAAGAGAACTGATACGGGCTTATGCATCATCATTTTTCTGTGTCCCGCTGGCAGATTTGAATGTATTACTCTCTGCAGACATGTTACAGCTTAGAGGAAGTTGTAATGCCAGAAATAGCTTTAGCGCCACATTTTACTCCTCTCTCTCTCTCTCTCTCTCTCTCTCTCTCTAAGCTCTCTAAACACTGAATGAAAAATGTATACTGTATGATGAAAAGGTTTCACATTTCAGTCACGCAGAGAGAGACCCTGTCACTGAGGCTTTAATTAAATTAAATCTTATTAGCTGTTAAATAAAAGATTTAGCCACGAATCCTGCTTCATTTATTCATAGATTTCTCCTGTTTTTATCTCCTCAGGAGGATACCACCCTGTCCAGGTTGGTGACACCTTCAACAGAAGATACCAGGTGGTGTCTAAGCTCGGCTGGGGCTATTTCTCCACCGTCTGGCTGTGTCTGGACCTCAGGTATAGGGTTAATTAGGGACTGTAGAAAAAAGATCAGCATGGGGACGGGGGTTGAATCTAATATTTACCTCAGCCAGGTAGATTATGTTTTTGTGCAGATCTGGTTAAAGACACAGATCCAGGAATGTTTTATCACTTTCCTTAACACTGACTGTTTTTATTTTTTCTTACTTTTAACAAAAAAAAGAAAAGAAGAAACAATTATAATTTGTGTGCAGTCCCTTAAAAAGATACAAAGAAAGAATTAAATTTGACATGTTGAGCTTTGTTATTAAAAGAAGTTGTCATTGATTTAGCAGAGAGGGGACTGTCCTGTGCAGGTTTCTGATCTGGGGTCTGTGTTAGCAGGTTAGGTCGACATGTTGCTGTGAAGGTGTTGAAGAGTGGAGCTGGCTTCACCCAGGCAGGACAGGATGAACTGGCTCTCCTCCGATGTGTTAGTGACCTTTTGCTTGTTTTTCTCCTCTATATCATGTCTCACTCTTTCTATCAAAATGTCAGTTCTTTTAGGTTTTGTTTTTGTTAGCAGTTAAGAATTTCGTTCTCTGTCCTTGTTAACGCCATTCTCACTCACTTTGCTTTGCCCATTCACTGCCTTTCTTTCTGTACATGCCAAAAACTCACCTCCTCCTTTTTCTTAAAACACTTTCCCTCTCTAAATTTCCCTCTCTCCTTCTTCCTTGTCTGCCTTCTTCCCCTTCTTGCTCTCACTTCTCTCTTTCATCAGGCCAGTCGTCCAACGAGCCGTCATCCCTCCAGCCAAAGGATTGTTCAGCTGCTAGATGAGTTTAAGCTGGCCGGGGTCAACGGAGTCCGTATCCTTTTTACACCCTGTCATTTACTGAGCACCCATTCTAAACCTGACACCAAGTGCTAAGGAGTTATCGTGTGTGTGGGGGTGTGTGCTTGTGTTTGTCAAAGTAGAAGTATAAATTAAATGTATCTCATAAAAAATATATCTCTGGAAACAACATTGAAACAACGGATAATGTGCAGTTTGCATTCAGTATGTTGGCTCAGTAAATACAGTATTATCATACAGTGGTTCGGTTTGTTAAACAGACCTTAATGCCTGGTGGTTAGACATGTGCCTGGTGCTGGAGCTGCTGGGGCCTGACCTGAGAAGCTGGCAACTCTGTTTTGGGGATCCAGGACTGTCGCAGCTGTGGGTCAAACAAATTCTTACTCAGGTAAACCACAAGAAAGCAGTGGATAACACAAAGAAATACATCTCAAATTAGATGCAGGGAATTAAGATCATACAAAGAGGTTGCTGCATTTCGCTGAGATACGGTGCACTTTCCATGCAGATTGTTGGCACATTCAAATGAATATTTTAAAATGCAGGAGAATCACTGAAACCTTGTGTTCCCAGTGTAGCTTCAGCTGCCTCTCTTCAAGAAATGTTTCATTGGGTTAGATTTAAATTCAAATGCCATAATTGAATTAAATAAATTTATCTACATTTTGTAAACTATATTTGCGATCTTGCCAAGAGTTAGAAGATTGATTCCACTCTCATGTTTCTTAGTTTAGCCGAGCATAAAGACTGGAAAAAGGGAAACAGCTAGTCCAGTCCCGTCCATCTTATTGTTTTTAACATTTCTGCTTGTTTATGAGATATAACATGTTCATTTGTGAGCTTTAGAGGTGCTGTGTGGTGTTTATGGTGAATTTCGTCCAAAATGTGGAAAAAACGTTCCCTTCATGTGTATGAAGTCAAAGGAAAAGGGAACAGTTTAATACTGGTTGTATGGAGGGAAGCATCCGCAAAACTGCTTTGTGTTTTCACTATAGGTTCTGCAAGGCCTGGACTACCTTCACACTCAGTGTAAAATCATCCACACAGACATCAAGCCAGAGAACATCCTGCTGTGCCTGGAGCAGCAGTCCCGCAAAGTACCAGCGGGGGGCAGCAGCTCCTCCTCTGTGCCGACTGGGAAGGAGGCCAAGTCCACAGGCACAGTTGGTTTTGTTATTGCTACAGATGCTGGAGACTGTTTAAGAGTGAAGTCTCAAAGCTGGAACAGTTTAATGCTGAGCTGTATTAGGGTTCATCAAATGTGTATACAAAGCAGATGCACTGCCAGTGTCAGTCTTTGAATATACAACGTCTCTGCTCTGTACACAACTAAACATTTCAGGGGTCAATACATTCAGAGATGGACAAAACTAATTATACAATATACACAATATTACTTCTTGGAATGAATGTGATGTTTTAATGCATGATTTCTTGTTGTTTCTTTCAGAGAAGAAGCAGGTAAACCCATGCAGTTTAAAGGAAGTCACAGTGAAGATTGCTGACCTGGGCAGCTCCTGCTGGGTGGTCAGTAGTTATTCTATACTTAACAAATAGCCATTGTAAAGTTTGGCATATCACATTAGCCTAGTGCTGAGTTTGGTTGATTGTTTTTTATTTGTAGACTTACAAGAAGGGTTCATCTTTACTCATTTGGTCTCACAGGGTCTTAAAACCCCTGAAAATTTGTCTCTATAACCTTAAATATAAGAAACAATAACAGTTAAAATCAGAGGTTAAAGTGGCTATAATCAGTATTTTTATGATGATGGATTAAATGACAATTTGAAAAAAATGTGACTCCTGCCTGGCGGTGGTGCTTGGTGCAGTGGTTGAGGTTCTGGGTTTGATTGGCTCCAGCCAATGAATGTGCAGCTTCCCTCAGTTTTATGGACTTCTATAGTGAGTTTAAGTTGCTTGTTTTGCTGTCCGGCCTGCTACTTGGTTCACTCTCACCACTCTCATAGCTTTGTTTTTGGCTGCAGATTTTTTCAGTGGAAAAAACTGCTCAGCGCCAAACAGCAGACAGACACAGTTAGAGGCTGGCTAGTGAACTGTGCAAATTAAGAGCCATGTGTTGGTAGAGACCAAAAACAGTGGCTGGAAATACAACTCCAAACTTCAAATGTTGCTCTGTAACTGCTTGATGTGCAGCCAATAAAGCAACATTTGCTAAGTGGTTTGCCATATGAACGTAAAAGGTGATGATATATCACTATTATGTTCATAACTTGTTCCCAAAACAATTGCAATTATTGCAGGTAACTGTCAAAAAACAACAGCCAAAACCTCAGCTAATGTGCTTCACAAGGACAGTGTAGGTGAGGTTTGATCAGATTTGACTGCTAAGATTAACAAACAACCCCTTAACATATGACATCACTGTTTCCCAAATGAGCCCCACCCACTTCAAGCCAGAGAGAAAAGCACACACAAAAACACAAATACAGAAGTATCTTGTGAGATATCCAAAACAAAAGTTCACGTAGGACCTCATTGCACTCACATTAAAAGCATTTATCGACATTTTCAGAATACACTATTGTTATACTAAATGTTTATGCTACATGAGAATTTACTCTCTTAAAAGTAGACGCCCAAATTTGTTTCACATAACACAGAAAGACTATAATTAAGCTTCTCTGCCTGCTCTGTCTGTCTTTCTTTCTTGGCCAAGTACAAACATTTCTGTGAGGAGATCCAGACCCGACAGTATCGTTCACTAGAGGTTTTACTGGGATCTGACTACGGCCCGCCTGCTGACATCTGGAGTGTTGCCTGCATGGTGAGGAAAAACCAGACAATTTGATGTTTACAGTGTGTGAAATATTCAAACCCAATACTCCATGGATTTATGGTTTCACCATAATATATGATGAAGCTTGATTTAAGAAGATAGATAGATTATACAGTATTAAATTAGATTTTTACACTTTTGCTTTGACACGATATGACATTATATGTAGTTTCCAGCAGAATTTATAGTCTATATAGATTCAAAATTATTTTTGTTTGCTATTATTAAGTTTCTGTTAATTTTCCACAGTATTGAAAAAAAATTTTCAGGTTCTTACCAGAAAAAAATTTGTTTCATCTGCAAAGAACATGAATTCTAATGTTTTAGTACAACCTATATATATATATATATATACATATGTACAAAATAAACAATAATGGGCCTAAAACTGGGCCTTCACGAACCCCACAATTAACCTTCATAATTGAAAAGAACACCAAATTGTTGAAAAGGTCAAATTTGTTTTTTATCTTTAGCAGTCGAGGTGAAGCAAACGTAATGATTGGCCAGAAGGTGGTGTCAAAATAAAGGTATTTGGCAACCTATATCTGTGGGAATTATTATGTTGTTAGCATGAAAGTGTACAGAAATGTGTGTGACTGTATTACAGTCTTTATTTGTGTGGTTGTGATGTTCACTAGAATTTGTCCTCTGAGATTTATGAATGTCTGTCAGTTTTATTTATATAGCCCAGTATCACAAATCACAAATTTTCCTCAAACTGCTTTACAATCTGTACGTGATACAACACCTGCTGTCCTTCAGATAAGGAAAAACTCAGCAGTCATGGGAATTCATCCTCTGGGCATCGTGGATATCTTTCCCAAATTCTATCCCAATCCATCCATTTGTTGTTGAGATATTTCAGTCTGGACACAAGTGATGGACCAACCAAAAGACAGACATTAAAAACCTGTAGGCTTACTGTCATGATAAAGGCTTTAGAAGTTTGTGCCACAATTAAACAAAAGGATGAGTCACCATCAGTGTGGTTGGGATTTGTAGACGCTTACTTGGCCACACATCTCACCCTTTAATTTCTCTCTTGTATTCTCTTAGGCCTTTGAACTGGTCACTGGAGACTCCCTGTTTGAACCCAAAGCCTGTGAGTCCATTTCCCTTGAGGAAGGTACGTTAAGTACAGCGTGCTGGAACTGACAGAAGCATGACAAGTACTGACACAGGATTAAATGAGATTACACTGTGGCTGCATTGTAATTGTTGATGCACTGTGTGCTAATGTGAACTGTAAATTTGAGTGTGTCTCGCTTTCATGTGTGTGTTTGTTCTCTCCGTCTTCCTCAGACCACATAGCTCAGATCATGGAGCTGCTTGGTAAAATCCCACCAGCTGTTGCCTTGTCAGGGAAATACTCTGCAGAGTACTTCAGCCGCAGAGGTATGTCTGCAACTTCAGCTTTTAGTCTGTTTGGACTTTGTTTGATGGGGTGATTTCATTTACTTTCTTCCTTGCAAATCATTTCATTTTGTGACATCATGAGCATCTCTGCTTAATACTGTATGTTTTCCACCCAGGTGACCTTCGTCGTGTCAGTCCACTGAGGCTCTGGAGCCTTTATGATGTTCTGGTGGAGAAATATCACTTCCTGTTGGAAGAGGCCTCTGGATTCTCTGACTTCCTTCTTCACATGTTGGATTATCATCCAGAGAGGAGGGCCACTGCTGCAGCATGCCTCCGCCACCCCTGGCTGACCTCATGATAGCCCTGTAAAGACTATGTATAGGCCTCATACCCATCTGCAGTCCTTACAACCAGATGCTTTCAGTAGCTAGAACTGGATCATTTCACGTCATCTGTGAATTTATATACAAAGGGAATCTAAAGAGCCATTTAGAAGACGGTTTATATGTCACTTTGATTTGTGAATTCCTGTAGAATATAGTGTTGTTGTTATTCAGCACCAGATAGAGAATAAGATGCTCTTCTCCACTGAAGCCCTGTTGTGCAGCTAAGTAGCTAAGTTTGATTTTCAGATCTTTGAGTCCTTTACGTAGCAGCTCTTATGACACTGCCAGTGTAAAGTTGTCAATTTGAATGTTACCAATGAAACCATATCCAACCTTTGATGATCTTTCACAGTGAATGTATTTTGAATATGCTTTTCTTTTAGTTCATCTTTTGTACGTGGTAATGAACATTTAAAAAATAAAGATTAATTGCACTACAAGTGTAAGTCTATTGTAAATCTATTTTACTTTTTATAAACCCATGTCAAAAATATTTAAACATTTTCCTTAGAGGGATTTAAGATCCGTATAACATCTGTCAACATGTTGATGTTCTGACCCATGGTTACTCAGTAGTTATTACTACATATTACATGAGCACTCATGGGTCAGACCACACCCATCTTCATTTTGATCTCAGCTACACACCTGTACATTTTTGTGACTGTATCTTGCACGGTTGTGACCACATTTTGCCACAGTGCCACACAAACAGACTCACAAGGTTAAAAAAAGCTCTCCAATCATAAACAGTTCTCATAAGATATACTTTGTCTCACAATGTTTTTTAATTTTCTCTCATGCAGAGGGCTTTCATTTAACGTTTCTCTTGCTCATATAATTAACACGGGGAGCATTCTAACACTTTGCCTCAAATACTTAAAGCTGCACTAATTACATTTTTTATGTAAACAATGGATCAGCTGACTGGGTATATTATCAAGGGGGTTGTACTAAGTGACAATCTCACAGAGAGTTATCACTCAACTCTGCAGTTCCCTTCTGCTCTACAGAGATTTTCCGGCTCTGTGGTTGGTTCTTGCTAAAAGTTTGCCAGATCAACTTTAAAAGGTGATGATATATTAATGTTTTCAGCAGGTTCTGAGGCCATAACAAAATCAAAATATTTTACTTCATGGCCTCATTTATTTATCAGATGGTATTGTTATTGTGGTTCCTCTAAATACTTCTTACTAATGTAGTTTTCTCAGTACCCATTTTGTCCTGTTAGCCTATTATAACAGGCAATCAGGTAAACAATCATACATCAGAGTTCATTAACTTCTTTAATACATACAGTTCACCGCCATTCCACTTTTATGGACTACACAGTATATGAAATGTTTTAATTCTGTACATGTTCTCAAATATAACTGGTAACTGTGCGGCTGTACATGTAAATTCATGTTGAACCATGACAGACCATGGGCAACTGTGACCACTATGATTTGTAATGCTACACTGTACTGTGCAAATCTATGAATTAACAATAACATCACTTAGAAAACATAACTAAATTAAACTTTGCCAAGTGCAAATTACAAATTATGGCACCTTAACCTTTAGCTGAAGATGATACCCCTCTTGTTTCCAGTTAAGACTGTAAGCATCAAATAATTATTTGACTTGTCCACATTTAAACTTCTTACAGTAATTACATTAAGGTTATGTTGTCCAAAAATCTATGTATACATTATAGATCATACACTATCCACATATCTAAACTTGTTGAAAGTCAGATCTCCTGGCACGTCATCCTATCCAGCTGTAGGCTCGACACTCCACCAGTGGGTTTTCTTTATAAACGACCGTATAACCGCACTCTGTCCTGACCAGACGACACTTCTTAGGCCACGAGGTGGGCTTCATTGGCCTGGAGGAGAGGGGAGGAGAGAGGAAAGAAGAGTTTTCATGGAGCTATGAGAAGCAGACACAATGACAGAATTCCCATTAGCAAAGTTTTATATAACTGAAATCAATGAATATGAGTTGAAGTGCATAATCTACTCACACTAAGCAGTAGAAACCAAAGTCATGGCAGAAGCACTTGTCACAGCCTCTGCGGAAAGAGTCTCCTGGTTTGTAGAACTTGTCTTTGTATGAACAGATGCCTGTGGAAGAAAAGAGGACCACAATGACATAAAGTTCCAAGCTTTCCTCTCCAGTTCAACCTACAGATCTGACCCTACTGGGTGATAACATATGTATTTTACAGGAGGTTACATCTAAACTTTGCAGAGGCTATAAATGTCTGTCCTTGCAGCAGAATGCATAAAGCCCTGCTGCAAGAGGTCAGGCGCATTTAATAGCTAAATCTAGCGTCCAAAGCGAGTTCTCCTCCCATTCCTGCAGGCTGCAGGAGCTATCCTCATGGGGTAGGTCTGTCACCTTGAGAAGAGGATCAATAGGAACACACTGATCTGCTGTGAAGAGCCCCACGGGGCTGAATGAAAGGTCAGGGTATAGAGGACAAAGTCTGTGGTCAGCCAGTTGGGGTTGGTTTGATGGCTAAAGGTACCATATGTCACAATGCAAGTGAGGATTTATGCTCGCAGGGCAAAATTAACAACTCAGGGGCTCGACTGGGCCATATAAACACATGATTATGAATAATAATTCTGCAGAGAAACAGAGGTCATTCTTACCTTTTATGTGGTATATAGAGGCTTCTGAGCATCTGCTGCTTAACAGAAGGATGAGGGACAAGCAGAAAGTAAACACCAGCGACAGAGAGCATCCGTGAACGTTACTTGCTGAATGCCACATTGTGAAAAAATAGTAAAAAAAAGTATCTCTTGAAACAAAAAAAAATTAAAAATTGGTGGTTTCACTAGTTTAAATCTTACGTGACTGTCCGGTCAAATCCAGTAAAGTCCTTGTGATTGCTCAGTGGACAGTGGCTAATATTTATAGTCTCACATCTTTACTGGGCAAAGAGAGAGAGAGAAAAAAGCATCTCCACATGTTTAATTTCATGGTTTCTTCCCAGCGTCCAACTTTCGTTTCAGAGTGAGGTGTGTTTGGAGTTTGGCTGTGTACCCATGCGTTCCTAAATATTACTTTTAAGGCTGAGTGGGTGCTCTAAAAGGATGGCCGATTGGTTCAGTGGTGGCCTCTGACCATCCAGACTTTTTCAAGTTTCTGTATCCTCATTTTACCTGTTTCTCTTTAACATACACATTTTCCCCTGTTCCCCCCTCTCTACCACCACCTCCTGATACACACAGATGCTGACTCTTAAAGCTAAACCTATTTTTACGACTGCTGACACTGTCAAAATATAACTCTTTGTGCTGACATTGTCCCTTGTGTGAAGGAATTTGGTTCAAGCCAAGTGATCACAAAACTGCATTCGGAAACATCAAAAATGCATGAAAAAATTGTAAACTTCGAAATCTATTTTTCTATTATTCAGAGCAACTTCATCTTCAGAGGTACAAGGATTTTGTTGAAACATGGTGTCAGATTCCTTCCCAATGTTTGACTTTGGCATTTGACATTCAGAGAAAGGAAGGAAGTGGCGAGAGTATCATGGTTTGCACAGTACATTTTGTGCTTTTAGCTGTTTGCATATACTGCAGTACACATAGCATGAAGTAAAGACCACAATATTACCAAGGAAGTATGTCACATATTTTTAAGCTGTATATACATTGCACATTTAGTCTTACATCTGGAAAAATTCCTCAAATACTTAAGAAGTCAGGAAGTTTCCAGTTGTGAGTGCATTCATGTGTGGATAGTGTACAGTGAGGACTATAGATCTATAAAGGAAACTGTTGTATCTTTCTGTGTCTCTGCTACACACAAACACAGGCCGATTTTACTGGATGTGTGACTGACCGCAGGACAGTTTGTGGTCAGTCTCTTCCTTCCTGACAGCCTCTGGCCAGTGACCAGCTCTGACAAAAGAGAAAACAAACTGGACATCAAGGGACTGGAAGGAACTTGTGGTGGCCAAGAGGCTCCAGCTAGAAACCGCTACTGCCTCCACGTCAACCCTTTAGTCACACAGGAACACTTTGAGGGTGTTCAGTGGCTCAGTTGTTAGTTGTGGCTCATACAGCAAGAAACTCCAGTGATATGAACTTAACCAGTATTACTGGACACCTTTCTGTGTGGAGTTTGCATGTTCTGTCTGTCTGTCTGTTCTGTCTGTGTTGGTTTTCTAGGTGGTCCTTCAGGCCACAAGAGTGCAGGACACAGTAAGAGTGAAAGTGAAAACAATATGCCTCATTACCCTCCCAAAATATTAAGCCCTGTGTGCTTTTATAGTAAAAAAAAAAACCTCTACCCACTTGAATGTATGTAGTATCATGGCAGAAGCAGAAATAAGAAATGACCTGGAGATGACAAAAGTATTTAAATCAAAATGCAAAAAATCTTTTGTCAATAACAGGAACTAAAACTTGTGTAACTTAAGTAAATGGCAGCAAGTCTCAGGAGTAATATCCACAGGCTAACAGGCTAAGAAGTTAAAAGGCTGACTGTTATTCTGACGGTGTCTTCAACATCCTTCAGCGTACACGCTGCAGTTCAACATGTACAGGAAGTGCTAAGGCTAAATTCAGTTTAAGAAAAGAAGTGATAGAAATAGAAACAAAAGAAAAGTCAACATTGATGTTGCTTTCCACTACTGGAGACAGCTCTTGGTGAGTAAAGGAATAAAATTTGATGCTGAACACGCAACGTAGACTGGTAAGTAAACAGCTCTTAATGCTAACGATGGCTCTTCTTTCGTTAGCATTGCAACAAAATGCTTTAATCTTTACAAGTAGTGCTTTCACAAATAAAACAGCACAAAGGACCTTAACCCTGTTTGGGACTTTCCATCGAAAAGCCTGGGGAAGCAGCTGTGCTCTGCTCTATAGATGTAAGAAGTTGACCAGATTACCATTTACCAAACAAACTGGCTAGTCCTGATCCTTGAAGATGCTTCCAATGCATACATCTCATCTTTGTGTGGCAGTCATGTCCCTATCAGCCTCAGCTCTACTTTGTGATTAGTGTTACCAGTCTTTATATGTTAACACACTGAACTAAGATGGTGACCATGATAAACATTATACCTGCTAAACATTAG